TATGAAGATGATCTTGGGTATTGAGGAAGATGATATATCGCTTATCAATAAAGATGATATACCTAGCTTCTGAAGCAGTGAGATGATCTCGATAGGTGAGCAAGATGATATAACCTCGGATATTGCATTATTCAATATGGTATTTTGCAAGATGATCTTGGTTGGGCATAATAATCCTGCTTCTTGAGTAAAAGTCACTTGTTTTTTCGTGCTACTGTACAGTTTCGTACGTTCAAATTTAATCTCATTTGATTTGAGGTTATGTTATGAATGTTTCATGGAAGAAACACTAAAAAGTGTCGCCATCTTGCGGACAACTGAGAACTAATATGCCATTATTGCGGAATCTGCGGTCAAGCGTTTTGGAAGAAACAAAACACTGTCTGTGATTACACCATATTCTATCCAACTTGCCTCGGATATTGCATTAATCAAGATGGTATAGCTTCTTAAATTCATACTGGGTCTCCAGCGCTTCCTAAACATCTGCCGTCACTTCACTTGTTTTTCCGTGCTACTGCTACCTATAGTCGACTGTCACACTTTGATGTATACGAATCTGTAATATTATTTCCGGCTCATAGACACACACTGTTAGCCCACATGCCGTTTTATTTTCGTGCCTCTCGTCCTATATCGAGAGACCGACCATTTCCTTAGGCTCTCCTCTTCTTCGGTGCGTTTACCTTTACGTTTCTTGTGTTTTTTGAATTTTTTTTGTAATGGATTTCGTTCGCGGCGACATCCGTTTCGAAATCACGTACCTATAGGGGTGCACGTGAATGTTGTAGCAGCCACTCGTTATATATTACGTGGGATGGTCTAGAAATAGTGCGCGTTTTTTTTACTCGTCAGCGTGATTCTCGAAAATGGGTGGATCTTGGGAATACATAACCTCACTTTTTCGTGCGTCGCACGCGTTAGATTGCCATCTACAGGGAGATCGGGATAGTTGAGGTAGGTCGTTCATCGCTTCATAATAACTCGAGCGAGAATGTTATGTTTTCTCAAGAAATGTCAGAAATTCGTCTCGAAATTCGAGATAATATATTGTATCTATACCTTTTCAACTTCAATTTCGGAATCGGTAAGTTATATTTCGGAAAAAGTAATCTCGATTTCAGAATTGGTTAGTTCGATTTCAGAAATGGTAAACTCAATTTCAGAATCGGTGAGATGAATTTCAGAAAAAGTCCATTCAATTTCAGAAATGGTAAGTTGTATTTCAGAATTGGTAGGTTCAATATCATGAAAAAAATCCTTATATTTGTTCGAAATGTTTCCAATTGCATGTGAGATTAACAAACCATATTTAAAATATTCAACTTCTCACAAACAATTTAATCCACAGATGCCTTCCATCTGAATCGCTGGAAGATAGTGGCGTTGCACATGATTATAAGAATGCAAACACATTTGAGGTGTTATCATTTTCATTAAATGATCTGCACATTCTTCAAGACATCGCAGTCTGAATTCTATCTGGTTGAGCAATCTGTTCGGATCTCCAGCTATGACTCTTTGGCGATGCTCTTGCAAGAAGCTCTTCACTTCTGACTTGAAGGCACTCCATATATGTTCAATCTGATTCAACATAGTGCTCTCAAACACCGTTCCATCCACTGTAAACAGTCTTCTCTCTTGCAATTAGAAACATTTCAAACATGTAAAAGGATTTCATCTTCTGAAATTGAACCTACCAATAATAATTCTGAAATACAACTTACCATTTCTGAAATTGAATGGACTTTTTCTGAAATTCATCTTACCGATTCTGAAATTGAGTTTACCATTTCTGAAATCGAACTAACCGATTCTGAAATCGAGATTACTTTTTCCGAAATATAACTCACCGATTCCGAAATTGAAGTTGAAAAGGTATTGTCTATACCTGATGGTACCATTAATATACAAGGTGTATCTAAATAACACCGAAAAAATTCAAGGGGTGATTTCTTGTGATATTTCAGGAAATAAAGTTCATATGAACATGTGTCCTAATTTGCTTCGTTTTCAAGATACAGGGTATTAATATTTCCATGATACATCTTTTTTCTATTCTTTTCTCAATTGTGTTTTCATCAATTTCAATAAAACGTTGTGGTTTTGTTAATAGTAATATGGAGCTTCTTTTAGTGCGATTAGATTCGAAATAATATTCCCAGTGGCGTCACAGAGTGGGTAAATTTATCGATATTCATGGCGAATGTCATTGTACACCACAGGTTTCATCTTTTTATTAGATTGAGCTATTGTAATAACAACTTTTTTATCATCTGTGTGATTTTTGTATCTAGCATAGATTTTGAGGAAACAATAAAAATTCGATATGACTCCAAATGTATTGTAGGTGTTTTCAAGACTTCTATTGAGATTACTCAATAACCCCAATTAGTATAATTTTGAAATTTTGGGGCTTTCTCAGTCTCCATCTATATTAGTTTTTTGATTGTCTCCTGCGTATCTCCTGCTTGGGAATGAAATTATGTCACGTAAAAGGGATAAAAAAATGTCTATTATAATATTTATATAAGACGAGATATAAAATATCTGTGAACATATTTGTATGCCGAATTATTATGACTATTGAATTGACCAGATATTGTTCCTAATTGGATTTCTATATCAGTATTCAGCAGGAGTGTTCAAAAAATAGTTTTTTTAATTTTTCGTTAATTTTAACTTTCGAATTTTTGTCATATTTTGTAAATACCTTCCCCATAACTAAGGAGAAATGCGAAATTTGTGCTAATGCGTATACTGCTTTTTTATCCGCTCCATTTACCTACAATTTCCATAATTCCTTATCACTCTCTTCATGTTTTTGGTATTCCTTGTGGACAGGAAGTAACTCGATAAATTATAAGCAGATAGCGAAGCTTCAAATCTAATACTTGTATATACCTACCTAATCATTTTATCTAATGCATCCAGTTGAGTAGTGTGTGAAAATTTTATTATTCATCTGAATTATCAAATTTTAACAGGTATGTTTCGTTAGCCTTCTTTTTTTCTGTTCAGTACAAATCATTTTTGATATTTGGTAATTCAATAACTCTAGAGTTAGGTATCATTCGTGAGTAATTCATCATTATTTTGCACGAGATTGCATCTTCTATTCAATGAGACACGTGACTCTGGTGTCGATGTCGGACGTGAATGCATTATTGGTTTCTGTCGAAAATCCTTGTTTGGTATTGATATTGGTAGGTTGGATGGTGACAGTTGCGCTGCGACCTAATTAGATCTATTGTGCCCCATCTTCTTCTGCTATATCACGGATTTCTTGTTCATAGCAGCCCCTCAAGATTCAATTCCTTCTGGAATTTGAGGATTTTGAGGATATCTAGTTGTGGTATTTCTCCCACAGTCAGCTGGTGTGTTCCAGTATGTTCAATCTTTTGTGTTTCTGGTTCTTCCTCGCAGAATCTGCAGGTGCCGTCCTCCAGTACGCCTAGCTTCCTTAGGTGTTATTTGAGTCTGCAATGCCCCGTTAGGAATCCCGTTATTGCTTTGAGACTTCCTCTGCTGAGGTTTATCAGTGTCGTAAATCTTTCTCGGTTGAAATTTCCGAGGAGATCTTTAGTCTGCCGCAGTTTTGGAATTCTTCTCCATTGCCTGGCTCTCAGGGCTCCTTCCGCCTTTTCAAGTTCTCCTTGGAAATAGGAATTTCAAAGGTCGCAGTTTGGTCCGATCAGTGACGTTGAGGACCCTTGTCGTGCCAGAGTGTCTGCTTGTTCATTACCCTCCACTCCGATATGCCCTGGCACCCAGAGGAAGATCACTTTATTGTTACTGTCTAGCTCATTCAATTTGCTCAGGCATTCCCATACCATCTTCTATTTGATGTTAGAAGAGCTCAACGCTTTGATGGCTGCTTGGCTTGTTTACCAACTCAATGATTGTCAATTCCTAATTGTTTCAGGTCAACTGATTTACCCACGTGATTCACCCCTCAATATAACTTCCAGCCTGCTAATAAGCATTAACATTCCTTTTATTAAAACTGCAGAAATGACACCCTAACCTCCCACCAAAAAAAAAACTTAACCACACTCGTCAGAATTTATTTTCTCAAATATTCATTTAGTTGAGTAATAAGATAGATGAAAAGCACATGTTTGTTTTATGAACGTGGGCAGCACACATCATACTCAAGCGTTATCAGACTAGTGTCGGTGTCGCTTAAAATCGTTTTTTAAGATGCTTTTATAATATTTCAACGTTAACTTTATTTATTGTCGAATTTTAAAAAACAGTGTTAACATGAGCTACAATATCTTGTTATCCATACATGAGTATTGAATCTGAAGATTGTGGTGACAAGCAATCGATTTGAAGTATCACTTATGACAAAAACATAACCTAGCCTAATGTAACTTCATGTTTAGCAATATTACATCCCAATTTCCGGAAAATTATATTAGGAATCAAAATAGGTCGAAAATCACTTCAGATTCGGAATCAGGAGGCCCAATTCACTAACTATTTATATTTTTCCTGGAAAATTTTCAGTTCATCACTGAAGATGATCCCACTTGGTCATAGAGTGCATTTTTGTAATATCTCTCGCTCCAGCAAATTTCAGGATCCGTTCCCAACGATTACGTAGGATACAGGGGTGTTTCCATTAGAAGTGGGTCACACTGTATATACCACTATGGTATCTGCAGGATGCCCATTTTGAACGCACGCTGTCAAAAACCATTACAGCACCTCATCATCGTATGAACTAATTTTCATATAGAGAGTTATTTCAATTAACAGTAGTGTATGTGTGATCAGGATTATTTATTTCATGAAATACAACTTACCATTTCTGAAATTGAATGGACTTTTTCTGAAATTCAAGTCACCGATTCTGAAATTGAGTTTCCCATTTCTGGAGTCGAACTAACCAATTCTGAAATCAAGTTAACCTCTTCCGAAATATAACTTACTGATTCCGAAATTGAAGTTGAAAAGGTATAGTACTCATAATCATCCCTCCGTCCTTCCAGATCGATGTTGAAGCCGCAACAGCCGCCTTCGAAACCGGCGTCGCTCGACATCCTCGCCCAAGCGCCCACCATGGACAACAATCGGCTGGAAAAGCTGGTGAAGAACTTCGTCGACGAGGACAAGGCTCGCTGCGCGGCCGCCAAAGGCCGACTGACCCCCACCGCCTCGCCGGCCAACAAGTCATTGCCCTCGAGCATCCAATACGCGCTGCAGAAGTTCGAGGTGGGCGGGTACGCTCGCCCAACGGCCACTCTGCCGGCGAGGAAGGTCGCAGGGGGCGGAGCGTACGGCGTCGGTGCGGCGGTGGGGAGCGGTGAGGTGGTGGGGACGAATAGCTACGCGTCGATGAACGCGGTACAGGTGAGTCGGGGTGTGGACGTCGTAGCGAACGCTTGTGTTTGTTCATGTAAATCGTGTTCTGTTCTGAGACAATACGCGGTCTCGCCGCTCTCAGGGATACTTTTGAAAAGGACAGGATTATTCAATACACCTTATTTATGGTTTTCACCTTTCCAAAATCTTTATTTCACACAAAACTAAAAGAGACAAAAAACCACAATGAGAAAATGATCCAGAACTCACGCGGTGGAGCGGATGAGGTTAGAAAAACATCATCAACAATATATTATAAAAACTTACCTAAAAGTGCAGACCGCACTATCAAAAGACGATTCGATAGTATCAAAGCCAGGAAGCACTCCTGTTTTTGATCAAGAAAGAGTTTTTTGAAAAATGTTAACCCTTTTTCCTACGAAGTAAAATGTGGAAGAAGGCGCCAAAATCTGACAAAAGTCGACAATTGACAAACTGACATATCCATTGGTGACTATTGACGGGTACCGTAACTAGCGACACGCATAAACAGCATAAACTCACCACACCGTGTCTAGATGCCCGCGCGTCGGCAATCTACTTTGTTACAGTCCGGTACAGACGCATTTGGAAAGCAATTTTTTCACAAGAAAGATGGAAAGATTGGTTCCTCAAAGTTTTTTGTTTTGTTTTTGGTAACCTTTATATTTGTACGAAACAAACTAGTAAATAAAATGCAATCCACTTCCCGTTATCAGATTTGGATGTGACTGCAAATAGCTCTAGTTCTGTTGACATTAGCCCGCTGGACTATCTGCCGACATTATTCGGTTGTAAATAAAAAAAGATGATTGGCGTCGGTCTCGAACCTGTGCTCCAACGAAGAACATATTCAGTCTCAGACCCTTTTTCCACTACGTTACTGCGGCACTTGAAAGATATTGGTTATAAATTCATTATTCAACAGAATTGTGATAGTACAAGGCTTTAATTATATTATCATTTGATCATACGTCTTATACCTATTGGTACTTGGTTGATTCGATGACGTAGAATAGATTTAGTCTGATAATGTTACAACCACATTGCTTTTCCAATTTTTGATCTATTACTGTGAATCAAATATTTGTCGAATATAGGTAAAGAACTGAACTTCGCATTGGTGCATCATTGTTATACATATAATGAACAAATATTTAGCTCAAAGTCATCACCACAAAAATAAATTGGTAGACAACGAGTATAATTGTTGTATAACATAATTCTTGATGTCAGACGATAGTTTGCTGGAATCAACCATAAAAAAATTTGAGTTTTTCTCCAGCGTCGAATCGACAGCGGCGTGATGGGGACATATAACCATTTTTACCGCCTGTTCATAGTTGATGGGCAAGGTTGTAAAGGATATCATTAGTATCCAGCGACCAAGATTATATCTCGAGGCTTCTTCACCAGCAAGGTGTATAATATCGAATTTTTTTCACCACCAGTATTATTGAAAATGTCCTATTGTCACTTCTTTTCAATTCTAATTAAAATCTAGTAGTCATGACCATGACAACTCATGACCAAGTCCTTATTGATAAATTCCTACTAGTTTCGAGTGCCATTCCGGCGAATCTGGCATCAGAACAGTGAATTCGGGTTAATTATAACAGAAGTGCATGGCTATGTCTTTATTCACTAGAAGTTCATAAAATGAGGAAAATTACCTTCATAAAAACACACTTTATGCCTTGAAAAGGAGGGTCTACCTGTAGCTAGTGGTGGAAAAAATAGTTTATCTAATATCGTTCCAAATTCAAAATGGCGGATCACCGTCATCACAACCTCCTCGACATGGGTATTGAATGAAATGATGAACAGAAAACGATCAGCTATGTGACGTTATGGAGGTCAGGAAATGATAATATAGCTCGTAATATAGTTCAATTTTCCAGTTGTAAAATAGTCGAAGCTGAAATTTTGTAAATAAATAAATTCGAAGAATATGAAATTGCGCTAAGAGTAGATTTTGAACAGAACAAAGATAACCATTTGGAGCCAATAAAATCTATCGGAAGTGAATCAAAATGATAAGATATCTATAGACTATTGCTCAATGATCTTTTGGCAAATTTTGAAAATCATCATCACTTACTCAAACAGTATATACAACCTGTCACTTTGTGTGATGTAATTCTTTCAAGGCCGTTTCAATTAGATCGCAGTTCCATTGAATATCCGTGCTAAGGGACTGTTCTGCCACTGATCAGGATCAGCCCTGTCATAATCTGATATCTCTAATATACTCGAAGTGCTTTGTACGGCCGTTCTAACAATAAACTGGGAGTAATAGCCATAAACACGATTGCAGTGTTCCTATTGTGGAAAGTGCATTGCGGCACGCAAACATCGAATTTCTGTGTTAAATATAATTCCCGAAGGTGGAATCTCTTTTATGTTGTTAACGATGATGAACAGTCAAATACGATTGCGATCAAAATATACAGCGCATTTCATAAACAAAATAACATATTTTTGTATACCCTGTATATTTGAAGAGATATTGCAACCTGTACCGAAAATTGTATAGAATCAGTTTTGAATTTTTCTGAATGAGTGGAAAACAAAACATAGAGGGGACTGTTCATGTAAATAAAACTAGCCCTGTAACTGGTACTGGTGGGGGACGTTTCCACGTCAGCAACTAGTCCCCAATGGGACCTTTTTGCCAACCCCAAGTGTTTTCAATGACTGATGTGGTTCGCTCAAGAGAGCTGGCTGACATCCTTTTCAGGCACCGCCCATCAGCTCTCTTTTGAGAGTTTTTCAGCTGTGTTTTGTAGGCTAGTAATGTACAGTCGTCTTCAGAGATCATGTCGCACATGGACGGTGTCAGCTCCCTTGATCACTACTGCAATAAGAGCGCTCATACCGTCCAACCGCGACATGTTCGCTGAAGACGACTGTACTCACTACCATATGCGCAGTGGCAGGCCTGCTAACTATCATCGTTAACCCCCGAGACCGAGGTCTACTTAAGCAGCTGGCCCGCTCTCACGCTCAGCTGGTAGTTTTTCTACACCCACCTACTTACACCGTCCTACTTCTTCTCTGATGCTCACAACCACATCATCGTATATTTCTGCGTGTTCTGTGTAGGCTTTGTTACTAACTCCATGCGCCACTTTAGGAGCAGCACTGTTAATTGGAACGCAACAGCGAATCGTGCAGGTGACCGAAGTTCACCAATCAATAAGTGTGTTTTTTCATCTTTTGGAGCGCACGAAAGGAAATTCTTATAACGAACGAGTTTTGGTAGTGTGTTGTTCGACATTTTTCAAGGTTAGAGCAAAACTACTTAGTTATTTGGTTCTATTTGACTAACAATAATCTTTCTAGCACTTTGGAAACGTTCATTTTTGCTTCATTCAGATGAAAGTTTTTTTTATATAATAAGTGTTCGATTTCATTAGTGAGGCTATTAGACGAGATTGGCTCTTTCCATAACTTGCAACACTCAGAAGCCTAATTAAAAAACGCTGAAAATAATTCGAAGCCGCAATAATGGAACATGACCGGACTGGCCTTAACTTTTGATGTTCTGTCCATGTGCCCAATATTTCCATGCTTATGACACCGAACATAAACGTTGTTGTTCGGTGCTTATGATAAAAACAGGAATTCTTAAAAAACAATTTATTTTTTTGTTTCAATGGACCCCGCAAATTTTTAAGGTAAATTGGGTCTTGGTGGATTTTTCTCAATGTTTGGTATGATGTAGTTCATGTGGTTCTATAAAATATTTTCATTGAGCCAACCCCCAAAGATGGACATTTTTTTGCCAGGGGGGTTTGAATTCACATTTTGATAGAATTGACCATTTATTTCTGAGAAAATGAACTATATTCCAAAACTCTTTATTCCATTTAATTACTTCTTAAAATAGATTCTTCATAAAAAAAAGTATAATGGGGGGGAATTATTACCCCCAACCCCTATTTTGAAAACCGGAAGGAAAATAATAATAGTATTGAGAGAAACAGCCGAACCCACAATTTATAAACTAAGCGAGTATCGAAAAGAACTTTATTCTAATTTAGAACCAACAAGAAACGAAAAACTTGCAGATAATGAAATAATTCATTTCGAACATATTTTGGAAGAAAAAGACTTGAAAATCGAATTTTTAGAGCAGGAATATTCAAAAATCCAAGATTTACGAGTGGAAGAGAGGAAACAAATAGAAGAAAAAAATAGAGAGTTGGAAAATAAGTTAAAGCAAAAAGATTTAGATACAAAAGTCAGAGTTAGCAAAATTCAACACCATGTCCTTCAGCCTTATCATTCAATATTTCGAGAAGAAATAATTTTCTAATCAATTTATCGTACCCTTTTACCCACTCGAGGAGACGCTATGCACTCTCATACAAAAGTCAGAGAAAGATATATGGATGTACTCTTTCCAGGACTTGTGGAGGAAGGAAGATGCGAGGATCCTTTATCTGAGCGAAAAACATATTCTTGTCCTTGTCTGGTAAAACACATGATTTGCTTCAAAATCGTTTGTGGTTATGTTTGATTGTCACTGCTGGTCTAGTGTCCGTACTCTAATATGCAAAAAAACGTCGAAACAGCAGTGTCAAGTACATTTAGGAACTCTAATATCATCTAATACAGTGAAAACATTAAAAAACCCACTTTCAAAAATATGAAAAATATCTAGTCCGTTCCTGTTATATTTGCTTCATGCTCTATTAGATGTATCTGAAGCCCATCAATCTTCGGGCCTATCTATGAGATATTGCGCAAATTCCTATCAGCTTGTGTTGTCTGAAATTTTTGGTGTAATTGGGTTAATTGTCGATTAGCACATCATGATAGAAGATAAAATGCATTTTAATTTTCAATACATTGTGGCTTCAAAGCAGTGAACCGATTCGAGGAAAAAGTATAATGCGTTCGCATCCGTGTATTTGCCGGAAACCGGATTGATATACAACGAGGTTCAAAAAAAAGTTGAGGTTTTAAAATATGAAAAAATGATATCTTTTTAGCTATTTGGAGAAGGAGGGAATGACACCTATTTCAAAATGAGCTGTTGACGATATGAATGGCTCACATCATCGTTGTAATTGAGTACTGAGTGATTAAATGACAATTTACAAAGATTCATTTTTTGAATTTTTCATCAGTTGATTTTGTTTTCGAAAATTCAATTCTATCACGTACAGTTTCTATTATCGTTATTTATCATTTTGGTAATGTCCACTTCCAATTTTCATTTTGGAATTGTATTCATATACAAGGTGTTTTTGTAATAATTGCACATATTCAGCACATTAATATGATACAGTCTAAGGAATATTCCCATGATATCAGATTTTTCCTAATCCTTTTAATTATCGAGCAATTTCATCCCAAAAATTGAACAAAATACGAGAATGGAATATTGCTAATACACTATTTTTGCAATTCTAATGTCTTAAAACAGGTTTTTCAATTTGACAACCTTCTGAACAACCAAAAACTCTGACGAAAACAATGTTTAGATCTAGGATCTGGGATCTGGTATCTGGTAATCTGGTACTACAGAAATGAAATAGACAGACAAAGTGTCGCCATTAATGAGCTTTCAAGTATAAAATACAACATTAACATTTATTTGTTGAATAAATTTTTATTGGTGTTTGGTCATTCTTGTAGATACTTCACAACCTCTTGCAAAATTAATTCAGCTGACCCAGACTCCTGTTTCTCTGAACCCTATCCTCCCTAGGTACGCACGATATTCTTCGAACATTATAGGGATTTCCTTTCGTGCGCACCAAACGATAACTGATTCTTAGTGTGCCCTCTAATAGAGATTTTGTTCAAAAATTAAACTTGTTCTTTTTGTTTCCTTGCAGAGGAATTCTCGCATGAGAGAGGAAGTAAATGAATCAGTAAAGGTGAGGAGGGTATTTTCCATGAATTTATTTTCAGAGGATATGCATCTGGTAGTTTTTTCCTGACAGACTTTTGCATATTAGATTTCCTTCCTCAGAGATTTTTTACTATACTTATATTTTTAATATCCAATGTCGAATTCATTAAAGAAGTTTGCTTGTCGTTGTCCACTCAAATAAAACACAGCATTTTCCATATCAGCAGCACCAACAATCCAAACCCACCATCGGCCAGAAACCTCAAATCTCCCCGAAACCCCGAATCTCCGACACAATCGAGATGACGCTACCTGTGGATATTGCCACCGGCCTGCAAACGTGGCCTCTCAAGAACCGCGTGGTCACCACCGATGCGGTGAAGAAGGGGGGCGGAGACAAGCGCTCTGGCCAATCGGCTGCGAGGCCCGTCTCGTCTGGCGTCACCATCGACGAGGTGGCGTTGGAGGAGAAGCGGCTGCTGCACGCGCTGAAGAACGGGGAGGCGGTGAGAGAGGGCGGAGCCGGTGGGCGGAACTTGAATTCGGTGAGTAGAGGGCATATGTTATTTCTCTACGTATCAAAAATCAAGTTTTTTCAAATTAATCGATTATTCATTCAGGAAAATGTTACCGAGGAATGTTCTTTCTATTTAGATTCCCGACAAAAATCGAATCTTTATGAAAAAAGTCGATATAATCCATCACTCATTAGAACAGAGTTGCATTGAATCACGATTTTTTTCAGTAAATCGGAAAATTTGTTTTTTTCGCAACCGACACAAAAGTCGTCCATTTTGATACCAAAATCAGCTTTTGAATTGACGTTTCTATCATTGACACAAAAATAGGTGTGTTGCTAGGCAACACATTTAGTTCCTAGGAGCTAAATTTGAACTTTAGATCCTAGGAACTGAAAAGGATGTACTAGAGGTCATCAAGAATAAACAACATTGTAATGGTTGGTTATTTGGGTTGGGGCGCATACCTGATTTGTTTCCGATTTCGACAGATTTGGCATTTCATGCCCATGCTGGAGATTTAAATACACTTTAGAACAGTTTTTGACTATTCACGTTAGTATTTCATTCTTTATTCTCGGGATGGATAACTTGTTTTTGAATAATCACGGCCAGCAATAGTTTTTCGTCTCAAACAACGATATTGTTTACCTTCATTTGATTCTCAAGCCAAACACAGTGGAGAATGGAGAGAGATGAATAATCCCTATTATTATTGTCGATATGCTCACTAACCTAACATTTTCCACGTCTTGTTCCTATACCTGGCTCGGTATTTGTTATAAGAGCACAAATATGTCACTCTGTGGTTGTATTTATATTGAAACTACAATTCGAACATCCTAGAAAATTGAATAAACCTGATGTTAATGCAGGTAGAATATTCTCACCACACGGATTATCTGTTGCATTGCATACATATGGCACGGCATTGGTGGTTATTTCACATATTTATTCGAGTTGATTGTTTCGGTTGCAGAAAAAATAGCATATTTCATCTGGATCAAAAGTGACTTTGTTTGACTCGCAAATTTTGAAAATGGTAGATTCAAGATCAATTAATGAAAACATCCTGTAACTCATTTGTAGACTAGAATCACCCATTCATATGCCAGCAGAGCACAACTTCCAAAGAAAAATATTTTGCATTTTCATGTTGAGAACGGAAGCAGATTTGGTCCCGAAACGTCCAAAGATGAGTAAAAATTCGATAATTTTTCAATATATCTATATTTCTTTCCTTCAAACATTTTTTTCAAACAAAGGTTTCACTGAGAAGCTCCTGGATTTTTCTTTTAGGCTCCCTGATAGAAAAATTATATTGAAATTATAAGAATATTTTTATTTTATAGAAAAGAGGAGAGAAAATCCCAAAAAATCAAATAAAATGTATATTTTTTAATTTCCTGATGAGGTATTTGCTTCAGCGACTTGTTTTACAGCGATTTATTCGATTCGAATCACGATTGAAATTGAAAAAAATCAGTTGATTTTAGTCGTCGTATTAGTGTTTCATTATGAGTCTTGCCCAGTATCGCTCAAAACACACTACTACCGCCTCTCTCCCATTCCAGCACGCCCACCATCCCGTCGCCAAACAACCCCTGCCAATCGACACCGTCGACCACGCCCCCGCCCCCCACCCAGACTCCGTCTCCGCCTTCTCGCAGGCGGCGACCAAGTGGGGCGTGCGCGGCAACACAGCGCGCCGCCCCGTCGAGCAACAGGTGCCCCACCCCGAGCTGACCACCACGCAGCGGCAGCACCTGCGCCAGAACGCTGCGTCGTCGTCGGCCAATCCGGTGCGGCCGTTCCTGACGCGCGGGTCGGTCGCCGAGCGCGTGTTGATCTTCGAGCGACGGCCCAGCGCCGAGCTATTGGTCGAGAAGAGGGGACGGGGCGTGGCAGGTGGAGGGGGCGGGGCGGGGCAGCGGCATCAGGTGGGAGGAGCGCAGGTAAGAGACATCGGAAGCGTCTAGACACAGGACACATCAAATATTGCGGGAGAGGGAATAGAACGCCGCTGAGTTTGCTGGCGTTTTCGCTGTTGCTGTTGGCAACTTGTCGAGGTGCGGTATGCAGTTCACTCATTTTTGAGTAAGCGTTTGGCTTAGTGACCTAAGCGTCCGTCTACCATGCCTGAGGTCCTGAGTTCAGTCCTCAGGAAGATCGACATTTTTTCTTTTTTTTTGTCATTTTATTGCGAGTTTTATTGTCAAGTGATTTTCCGAAAAATTTACTTTATAGAAAGAAGTTTCATTTAGGCCGTGTCAGGTTAGATTCTTCTCTCTAGTAATCATCCGAAAATATACTTTTCAGGAAGAAGATTCACTCAAGACGAGGTAGGTTAGGTGGTTTTTATTTTTATTCATTTTATTTATTTCATTGTTTGCCATAAACATTAAATTGCATTAACATTTACAATGGAATAACATGAATAATCAGACAGATTCATATCTGGTATGAGATTATTCATGCGTTATCAAATCAAATTATAGTTATTGAAATAAACAACAGAATCAAAAAAATAATAATAATAAAACAAAAAGCTCATGAAAAGTACATTATGACATGATGAAATAAATTGGTGAATGAGAAATCATTCACTTAGGTTTGATGTTCTCTTTGCAAGAGGATATGTTTTATGACTTTAATTTTGAATTGAGTGATATTTGTGAAACTTTTGATATCATCAGGTAACTTATTGAACAAGTCATATTGTCTAGTATGATGTTCATGGATTTGAGAATTCCTCACCAATATGAAGTTAGATTCGAGGTGTTTGTTGATAATATCAAAACAAATTTTGAGATTATTTATCAGATAGTGCTCTTCCAAAGAAAATGTATTTGTTTCTTCATAAAGTTGATTTGATGGGGTGTCATATGAAAGACGATACAGTACTTTTAATGCTTTTTTATATAGTACAGATATTTTGTTGAAATTATTCTTGGAAAATGAACCTCAAATATTTATGAGATCATTTTACTAAGGATGTGAGAGTATATAACGGTATTTGCTATATTTGGGATAAGTTTTGGACATCTTCTCAAGATACCAACTATGGGGTAAATTTTTTCTTTGAGCATGCCAATATGCTTGTCCCATTTTAACTTTTGATCAATCCAAATACCAAGGTATTTGGTATAGGCAGTTTGTTTCAATCTTTCATTTTTTATTCTAATATTCAAATCAATATTTTGTTTATTTCTTTGATGGAAAATTATATATTGGGTCTTATTAAAATTGAGGGAAAGAATATTGGAGTATAGCCATTCTCCCATTTTTTTCAAATCCTCATTTATGTTTTGAAAAAGTATTCTCTTTAAAAAATAACCGCAACATTTCACTCAACAAATTTTTCGAAAAGATATTTTTTTAGGAAAAACGTTTATTATTTAGGCCAAGGAAAGTAAAGTAGTGTCCTTTTTCAAGCAGAAACGATATATATATATACTCGAAGTGGCCGTCATGCCGGACGGTACGATCGAGGATACGTCCAGAAAGAAATGTGAATTTTGTAATGAAAACGTGAGAAGTAGCTCCATAAAGTGTAAAAATACCTCTTGTAATATCAATCTTCATGTGAAATGTTTTAATTCGATATCCAAAGTGGTGTGGATCGAAAACCAAAATTGGTTGTGTAAAAACTGTGCAGTGGAAACTTTCATTGAGAAAACCCTATTAGTGAAAGAAAATGAATGTCTCAAAAGTGAACTTGATGCATATAAAAAGTTAGCAAGTGAACAAAAACATGTGAATGAATTGCAAAAATCGAAAATCGAAAATCTGGAAGCAACAGTAAATAAACCGCTTTGGTCTACAATCATTAGAAGTTCTCGGACAAAAACAGAGATCGATAAAGAAATACTATCATCGAATAAAAACTACCAGCGAGACGATTCAGCAGTATTACTAATAAAAAATGAAAAAGCAGAATCCAATGATATACTGGGTGAAATAAAATCGAAAGTGAATCCTGTTGATGTAAATTTCTGCATAAACAACACGAAACCCATAAAAAATGGGGTGATGGTGACTTGTGCAAGTAAGGTCATGCTTAACAAAGTAAAAGATACTCTTACTCACAGTCTTGGAAAGAATTATTCAATCAAAGAGAGTATGAAATTCAAGCCAAGAATAAAAATTCAGCGAGTTCATCAATCTTCCTTAGAAAATGAGTCTTTTGTTCCTGACTTAATCAAACAAAACGAGCAACTAGCATTATTCAACGCTGATGAAATCAAAGTAATCTTCAAGTATTCCAGCAAAGATAACCAAACCGATATTGTCTTAGAAGTGTCTCCTTCGGTAAGAAATGTCTTAATGAAGTCTGAGTACGTATATATAGGATGGCAGAGATGCAAAGTATGTGATCACTTCTCAATTTTGCGGTGTTTTCAATGTTCTCGTTATGGTCATGTGATGAAGAATTGCAAAAACGAGAAGTCGGTTTGTGGAAAATGTACAGGATCACACTCTACAAGATCATGCACGGTAAAAAATTTCAAATGTATAAATTGTATAGAACATAACTCTAAATTTAAGACTGTTTTTCCTATAGACCATGATATAAAAGACATTCATTGTAGTGTTTATAAAAATCGAGTGAAAAATATCATCTCTAGAACTTGCTATAATGATGAATAACAATAGGAAATTCGAACATTTACATATCGCACATTTGAATTGTCGGTCTCTTTTCACTGGTTTTGATGAATTATGTCAATTAGTCAAGCAAAGTTCTATACATATTCTTGCAGTAACAGAGACGTGGTTGAATGACAATACCGTCACAGCTTCTGTCAATATTGATGGGTTCAACCTCATAAGAAAAGACAGGGGAGAACGCGGTGGTGGCGTTGGATTCTATGTAAGCAATTCTATCGACTATGAAACATTGAATTTCCCTATCATATGCAATAATGGTCTTGAATATATTTGGATCAAAATAAAATTAGGCAGAACTGATTTTATATTAGGAGTAGTTTACCGCCCCCCTCATAGTAATATACAGTGCACCATTGAATACTTTGATGAGATATTACCAGAACTTCTAACTTTGACTGATAATATTCTGCTTCTGGGTGACATAAACTCCAATTTGCTGGAAACAGGAAATGTGTTTTCAGAGTATTTCAATACATATGGATTCAAACAGGTTATAGAGGAGCCTACAAGAATAACGGTTTCATCTAGCACGTTAATCGATCCCATATTTATTCGATCTTCACACTCAATATCTCAATCAGGGACAATAAATGCAGATTTGATTTCAGATCACATGATGGTTTACTGTAAAATTGACCTACCTATTCTAAAAGCAAATTCCAAACAAGTAACATACCGAAATTTCAAAGATTTTGACCATGACCTATTTCTCATGGATCTCAATCGGATTACTTGGAATGACATATATTCCATTGAGAATATAGATTCTAAACTTGAATATCTCACAGACAATATTTTGATGTTATTCAGTATTCACGCCCCGATAAAGAAAGTAAGAGTTACGAAGCCATTTGCTCCTTGGATAACTGAAAATTTGAAAATCATATTCAATTTGAGAAATGCTGCCCTTGCTAGATTCAAGATGAATAAAACAAAGGAAAATTGGGACAGTTACAAAAACCTGCGAAATTTTGCCTTAGCATCACTCAGGAGGGAAAAAGCAGCTTACCTATCTCATTTAAAATCTGCAAATAAATCGAAGGAATTATGGCAAACCTTGAAACATATGAAAATACAATCAAATAATTACGTACCACTACCAAACAGCTTACAAAATCCAAATGAAATTAATGACTTTTTTATATCGGTTTTCAAGAAAAGCGATTCTTGTCAAGATACTAGTGAACATTATGACAATAATATGTTCCACCCATATATTTTCAAACTGGAACCAGTTACTACTAACACTGTGAAAGACGCAATATATTCTTTGAAATCTAACGCTTGTGGAGTAGACAATATAAGCCTACATATGGTTAAACTCTGTCTTCCAATAATACTAAATCACATCACCCATATTATAAGTTGCTGCCTAGAAAAAGGGTATTTTCCAAATAAATGGAAGCTAGCAATTGTTAACCCGATAGCAAAAAATAATTCTCCAAAAAATGTCACGGATTTGAGACCAATCAGTTTGTTATGTGTATTATCCAAAGTTCTGGAAAGAATCGTATGTAATCAAGTAACATCTTTTGTAGATGAACATAATATATTACCGCTCCATCAATCAGGATTTCGCAAAGGTCACAGTACGACTACCTCACTTTTGAACCTAACTGATGACATATTCAGATCTCGCGATAAAAAGATGGCTTCAATTTTGATATCCCTTGATTATTCCAAAGCCTTCGATTGTATTGATCATGATCTTTTGTGTAGTAAACTGAAATATTATGGCTTTGCCGATCCTGCTGTTCGTTTTTTCAAATGCTACCTCTTCGATCGATATCAGATGGTTAAAATAAATGATGTTTTGTCTCGTCCAGCTCACATTATTTCCGGTGTTCCTCAAGGGTCCATTCTTGGCCCTCTTTTATTCTTGATATATACAGCAGACATTTATGATAAAATAAAATTTTCAAATCTTCAAACTTATGCAGACGACACACAACTTGTGCATCATTTTGACCCCTCTGTTGCAATTGATACCTGTGAGGAAATAAATTGCGATTTGCAAGCCATCAGTCAATATTCTGTTCAGCATAATTTAACATTGAATTCCACCAAAAGTATAGCTATCTTATTTTGTTCTGAAGGAGTGAGAGAACAGCTCAAACAAAGTATACAATTGCACATAGGGGATACATCTTTAGAATACTCGACATCATCGAAAAATCTAGGACTCATCATTGATGAAAAATTAAGATTTGTCGAACATGTCAAGACATTAATACAGCGCTCATATGCACGATTAAGATTGCTCTTTGCAAACAAGAGCATCATG